GCCATTCCCGGGGCCGCGGCCCGACGCGCGTGGAGCGCCCGGAGCCGGCCCGGCGTCGGGGCCTGGGCCTCGGGAGGCCTCCCGCTGTGCCCCAAATTCCAGGCCCCAGGACCCCGGCTTCCTGCCAACCTCCCTTCCCCCGCTCGTGGGGGGTGGGGGGGTGGCTTTCGCAACTGTGGAAGCGCGGGCCGCGCGGCCTTCGCGCAGCGGAAGGCGCAGAAGTACCCGAGGAGCTGGTGGCGCAGGCCAGGCGAAGTTCAGGGGCGTCAGGCCGCTTGGAGCCTGGGCTCCACACGGTGGGGGCCGCCGCAGCCGGGGACCGGCCCCCTTCTTCCTGGTGGCAGCCCCCGCTGACCCTCGCCTTGCCGGTGACTGGGGTTGGTCCACGACTTAGACAAGCCCACACATCTCCACGGAGCTCCTCTGGATGTGTCTTGCGTTCCCTTCCATTATCTAGCATAGATGAAGGGCTCAAAAACCACTTTTAGAATAATTGGACCTCCTACTCCACCCAGCCTCCATTTCTCAGCACCTTGGGGGGAAATGGCAGAGTCCTAATGCGCAGAAAACGATTCAACCGTGCAACAATTTCTAAGACTAAGATTGTAAGCACGGACTAAACCTGGTTCTAAATACTGGGAGTGACCAATATTTATCCATTTTTTTTTCTCTCCTTTATCCTTGGAAGCATCCAGAAAGTGCCTGCAGCTGGGTGGCTATGATCTTTAGGAAGTTAGAGCAAAGGAGTACCACCCCTCTGTCCTAGAAGCTTCACGCTGTACATTCCTACTGGCTTTGGAAATGGTTGTTTCCCCCACTCTCGCGGTGTGGTCCCAATGGCAAATGCCTTTATTCCTACATGACCCCATCCCTGGCCTCAGTTGGCTGACAGCTGACTTAAGCCAGGCTCTTCGTGGTACCCATCTCCCTGACCACAGAGGTAAGCATCACACCCAAGCTGTGCCGATGGGAGTTCTTTACCAAATGTTTTTAAACTGGAACCGGGTGAGAAAAGCAGCGCTGGAAAGCAGTGAGCTGTGAGGTCCCAGCTTTCAGCAGCCATGCTTCCTACCTGGCGGAAGAGGCCAGTCTGCAGTGAGGAAGAAGGAAGCTGACAGAGAGAGAAGCAAAAGCAAGGGGCTCAGAGTCCTGATGGCTTCCAGGTAGATCGCTGTAGGTGTTCCTGAAACCCAGCTTTGTCCCTGACATTTTTGTAGGTTGGCAGTCCGACCAGTTTGTTGAATCTGTGTACCAAAAAAGTTCTCTTTGCTCAAGCTGCTTTGAATTAGGCTTCTGTTGATAGAATGTGAGTCTTGACCAATACGAAGGCAGTTTTTCCCAGTGAGCCCAAATCCATCTCCTGACCAC